TCAGCCCAACTTCCTAAGGCCTCAGTACAGCAATCAAGGGAAGGAAGCAACAAAATTTTTCTGGCCACTGGAGATGCTCAAGGGGAGTCCTGGTTATTCCTACCTCCCTGTGTGATCCAGACTCCTCAAGCATTCTTCAGTCTTGCTGGGTAACATAAGGGAGCTACTTCATGAAAAGGTTGAACATCAACCAATTCTTGTTGGTACAGTGACTCTGTATTCTTCCCATCATCTTTTGATACTTTCTGCATCATTTAACATTTTGCTCATAGAATCCTTCAATACAGTAAGTTGAATGTTGAAGCTTGAATTTTTTAAGTTCTTTCAGCTTGAGAAATGCTGAGTGTGTTCTTCACGTTTGTACATTTTATTATACTACCTGCCTTTGTCTTCTTGAATTGACCTTTAAATTTTTCTGTCCAGTTCTTTTATTTCCTTATTTCTTCCAGTCTGTTTAGCAAATTTCAGAGTCTCTTCTGACATCCATTTTGGTTCTTTCTTTCTTTCTTTTTTTCTTTCTTTCTTTCTAATGACTTTTTGCTTTCTTTAAGTATGATATTCTTAATGTCATCCCACAATTCTTCTGGTCTTCAGGCATTGGTATCTAATGTATCAAATCTGTTCTTGAAATGATCTTTATTTAAGATGGGATATACTTGAGGTCATATTTTGACTTGTGGACTTGTTTTAATTTTCTTCAGTTTCAGTATGAACTTGTATATGAGCAATTGATAGTGTGTTCCACAGTCTGCTTCTGGCCTTGTTTTGGCTGATGACATGAGCTTCTCCACCACTTATTTCCAGAGATATAGTCAATTTTATTCCTGTGTATTCCATCTAGTGAGGTTCACATTATAGTCACCTTTTATGTTGTTGGAAAAAAAAAAAAAAGTATTTGCAATAAATAAGTCATTGCCTTGCAAAATTTTATCATGCCATATCCAGCATTATTTCTATCACCAAGGCCATATTTTCCAACTGCTGATCCTTCCTTTTTATTTCTAATGTTCACATTCCAATCACCAGTAATTATCAATGCATCTTGATAGCATGTTTGATCAATTTCACACTGAAGAATTTGGTAGAATTCTTCCATTTTTTTCATCACTGGCTATAGTGGTTGGTGTTTACATTTGAATAATAGTGCTATTAACTGGTCCCTTGTAGGTGTATAGATGGATATTATATCACCAGCAGCATTGTATTTCAAATAAATCTTGAGATGCTCTTTTTGACGATGAATGTGATGCTATTCCTCTTTAATTTGTCATTCCTGGCATAATAATCCACATGACTGTCTGATTCAAAATATCAATCCCAGTCCATTACAGTTTAGTTACACATCTTCTACCATTACAGTTGTAACAATCACAATTAATCCTGCTAACAGTTACTCACAATTGAATCATAAAATTCTATCACTATCATCTCCCCATCCCCTTTTACAAGAGAGATCTGGAAAAGAGGAAAACTATTCAGTGGGGATTCTATACTACCTCCTTGTTCTGAAATTAAATGCACTTATGAAAGCTTGTAAGCCAGCCACTTTATGCCTTTATAACCCCTCATTTTTTATTGTCAATGTCTAAATTGCCTGTCCCTATCAACCCAGTGCACTGAGAAAACAAGCTTGTTCCTTGATATGAGGAATCCTTCCATTCTGGTTGGAATTTTAAACAACTGCATCCATAAGCAAGGGTCCAATTCATTAAATTGTAGCAATTTACATTTGCTCACAGTATCAAGCATCTTTATCTTCATCTGGTCAAGTTCTGGTCAACTAGCCATCCAAGCTAGGTCAAATGGGTACTAGCTGCAAATATGGGAGTTCACATATTGTCTCCCTGCACTTCAGACCAGCTGGCTGCTTCACTCTCAGCTCTAGCCCCGAGTGGCTAGGTCAGTATGCAAAGACTTTAGATTGCATGGATCATAACAAGCTGTGGACATCATTGAGGAAAATGAGTATTCCAGAACACTTAACTGTACAGAGACCAAATGGCAGTTGGCTGAACAGAACATGGGGATCCTGAACGGTTTAAAATTAGGAAAAGTGTGCTCCAGGGTTATATTCTTTTACCATACTTATTCAATCTGTATGCTGGGATAATAATCCTGGAAGTTGGATATGAGAAAGAACATAGCATCAGGATTGGAGGAATACTCTTTTACAACCTTGCTTGTTGAAAGCAAAGAGTACTTAAAATACTTATTGATGAAGATCAAAGACCACAGCCTTCAGTATGGGTTGCACCTCAGTGTAAAGAAAATGAAAATCCTCACCAATGGAACAATAAATAACATCAAGATAAATGGAGAAAAGACATCTTTGAAGTTATCAAAGACTTCACATTTTGTTTGGATCAACCATCAACTCTCATGGAAGCAGCAGTCAAGATATCAAATGATATAGTGCATTAGGCAAATCCGCTGCACATGACCTCTTTAAACTGTTCAAGAGCAAAGATGTCAGTTTGAGAACTAAGGTTCACCTAACCCAAGCCATGGTATTTTCAATAGCCTCATTTGCATGTGAAAGTTGGACAATGAATAAGGAAGACCACAGAAGAATTGATTCATCTGAGTTATGGTATTGGAGAAGAATATTGAAAAGTACCATGGACTTCCAGAAGAACAAACAAATCTGTGTTGGAAGAAGAACAACCAGAATGCTCCTTAGAGGCCAGGATGGCCAGACTTTGTCTTTCATATGCCGTACATATCATCAGGAGGTATTAGTCTGTGGAGAAGGACATCATGCTTAGTAAAGTGGAGGCTCAGCAATAAAAGGGAAACCCCTAACGAAATGGAATAGCACAGTGGCAGCAGCAATGGTTGTGAGGTTGGCACAGGGCCAGGTAGTGTTTCATTTTCTTGTGCATAGGATCACTATGAGTCGGTAACAGCAACAATTTGATAGAATACAATAAAGAACATCTCTTTATATCTATTTTGTGTATAACTTTCTTATTACCTATAGACAAATTTCTTATTACCTATAGATTCCTGGCGTGGCTCTGTAGGTTCAACACTGGACTGTAAACAACAGGTCAGCAGTTCAAACCCACAAGCTGCTCCTTGGAAACTCTATATAGGATTACTATGAGTTGGAACCGACTCTATGGCACTTAATAAAAACAACAACAAAGATAAATTCCTAGAAGACGACTTATTAGTTAAAATATTCAAAGGCATGAGTATTTTGAAATCTTTCGTAGATACTACCAGCTTGTCCTTCACAAATACGCTCAGATTCACAGTGGATGAGCCAGTCATCTTCCTCATTCCTTCATTAGCACCAGATTTTATCATTATTTTCCATTTTTGCTGGTTTGGCTTAAGGACTGGCCTTGTCTAATGGTCTGTGGGGCACTGAGAGGACAGTGTTCTGAGCCCCTCTTGGACAACTGACTCAGAGCCAGGGAAATTACCCCAGCTCCAGGGGCACCCTCATTTCTGCAGCTGACTGCCCGTATCCTGAGAGCCTGTTCTGAACCTGGAAGTGTCACGGGTAAAATTCTGTAAATGTGCAGATTGGGGCTTAGACTTCACCCCATAAGACCGCCTGATACCCACAGAGACATACTCGCTGAAACAGATAGAGACACACAAATAGACAGATGCTTGGAAAGTCACATAGACAAACATACACAGATACAGACCACACTCACATCCTAGTCAGGGGGCTCTGTGCTGCTTATATATATTGGCTCCTGTTTCTCTTCAGAGCCAAAATCTAGGGCTGCCTTGAGAGGGTACTTTTTCCTCTGTTTGTTAATGGCCACCTCTTCAAAGTGGGTGCCCAACCTCCTGAAGAAAGCCAGGACTGGAATTGTCTAGAGAATGAGCAGTATGACCCTAAGACAAGAGGTGCCCCTGATTTACACCCCACATGGTTTTTAAAGCTTTTATTGTACATTGAGTGATAGTTTACATGGAAGAGCATCAGTTTTGCACTCATCCTATCATAGTTTGTTTCACTGCAATGATTATAATCCCCTCCATGCATCATTTAACAGTATTTGCTTCTATTCCCTCTGTTTTTGTTTTGGTTTAGTTTGATGAACACAAAAGCACTCAGAAATATATAATCATTTAAGCAACAAAAGGGTACATTCTGCAAGCCTGCCTCTTAGACACCAGCACACAACCTTTCTCTTTCCACACCCCACACTTTCAAAGGCACCAATCTGGCCGTTATCTACCCATGACTTTCTCCACTGGGAAAGAAATCCCTGGGGCCACGGGAACATGCCCACCCAGAGCTGCTGCCTTCCTGCTCCAGACAGCTGGAACCCTGGAATTCCCTGCATGGGCCCCTTACCCAATCATCTTCCCCGCAATAAGAGTTGATCTCTTGGCACCAATGTGCAGCACACTCCTGCTCCGAGGGGTAGCTGTGTGCAGGGGTGTGGATGGAATTTGGAGGGGGGACTGCAATGTCCACTTGCATGCATGCAATGGCCCTTCCAGTATAGCATGAAGCTGGAGGTAAGAAGAAGAAGGGTCATACTGTAAGCCATGAGCTAGGGACCAGCTGTCCCCAAGTCATCACATCTTAGCACAGAACTCAGAGTAGTACAAGAATTATACATTCAAGCCTTACCTTCCAAGTCATTTTGAAGGTGTGTCTCCCAAGGTAGGAAATTTTTATTTTACTAGTTTGTTAGTTTGATAACTTTTAAATGCAAAGGGACTTCAAAAAGTACCTGGAAAAATTTCATTATCTTTCTACTGCATTTTTCCAGGAACTTTTTAAAACCCCCTTATATTGAGAATATTTAGACACATTGTATGTGGCTTCCATTTGTACTCTTGTCCCTGACTCTGCAAATGTTAAGAGCAGACCTGAAAGAGAGGCTTCAAAGGCTAGGGCTGATGTTTTGGTCCAGAGGAGAAGTGGAGGGAGGTCTGGGAGCCAAGGGCAGGTGTGTCATGAGTCCTGGAATGGCGAGGCGGCCCTGCTGAAGCCACTGTGAATACTATCCGTTTCTTTTCAGATCACTTTCAGGAAAGACCACCTCGAAGCCTGCCTTCTTTCTTTGGGTTGTGATGTGATGGCAAGAGAACGCAGCAACTTTGAGACCTATTCCATGTGTTACGAGCATGTGTTACAGCATGCAAGGCAGAAGCTCTTCGAGAAGGAGCAAGTATGTTCCCAGGGAGACAAGAACTGAGATTGGAATCGGGTGTGGGCAGGGAGGCCCAGGAGTCACTCAGATGCAGAAAGTAAAACTATGAAGGGTAATGGTACCCTCCAAACGACTCTTCTCACTGGGTCATTTTCTTGGGTGCTTGTATTCTCAGCTGCTGAGATGGCGGTCCTAGACAATAGACCATGTGCTTTGGAACTCTCCAACGGGGAATATAAGAGATGACCAACCAAGGAACTGGGCCACAGGGAAAGATGCAGAGCTAATAATCCCACTCACAGCAAACACAAATGGGATATGTGCTGTTCCTGGTCAGATAAAGGCACCAGGATTCTAGAATAAACTGTCTTCAGGAGAAATATTATGGGCTGGTCTTACTGAAGAGACTTCCCTGGAATTAGATCTCACTAGTGGGAACCACAAGCCACTTGTGTCTGAAATGTCACGCTGTTTTAGAATGGTTTACATAAGATATTTAGAGTACTTTTCATACGAAAAGTCTGAAAGACTAGTAAAAAAAAAATCAAGTGAAGTATTAAAGTATCAGATAATGAGTCTTAGATTCACCCCCACTTTGGCTTTTCCCTGACACTGAGCCCTCTACCTCAGTGTGGGTGCTAGGATATTGATGCTGACTGTTCATACTGTGTTGGGCATCAGAAAGTCCATGGGGTGACAGTACAATCTTGGCTCCACCTGGAGTCTCTGAGTCTCAAAGCGAAACTCCACTCACACAGACAGGAGGTGCTAGAAGCATGTTGCACCAAAATGGGTCATGGTGGGAAAAGTAAATGTTTGAATTTCATTATGCACTCCTTTCTCCTCAGGAGTTAGATGTTACACAAAGAGCTCAGAGGCCACCTGATGAAGATGCTAGTCAGGTAGGTCAGCTGCTACTTGCATTAATTTATTGGGGATCCTAGTATGGCACTGTAGGATTAATTAAGCACTGGACTGCTAATTACTAGGTTGGCAGTTCAAACCCAGCAACTGCTCCTCAGAAACCCTATACAGGATCACTATGAGTCAGAACTGACTCAATCTGTACTTAACAACACTAACAAAGTCAAACAAACTGTATGACTTAAAACAACAGAGATTTATCCTTTCACTGTTCTGGAGGCTAGAAGTCTGAACTCAAGGTTTCAGCAGGGTCATGCTCTCTCCGAAAGCTATAAGGAAGGACCCTTCCTGGTCTCTCCCTATTTTCTGGTGGTTGCTGGCAATTGTTGGCATTCCTTGACTTGTAGATATATTAGTCCAATCTCTGGGTGTCTCTGTGTCCAAATTTCCATCTTTTGTAAGGACACTAGTCATTGTATAGAGTTCACCTTAAACCAGTATGACCTCATTTGAACTTAATTACATCTGTGAAGACCCTATTTCCAGATAAGGTCACATCCACAGGTTCTAGGTGAATATGAATGTTAGAGAGGACCTTGTTCAACTCAATATAAAACTTACAAAGTTTTCTTTCCCATTTCTCAAACCTGTTCTCTCAGAATTTGTCAGAATATGAATTCTTAATGTCATTTGCTTGTACCACTTTCAAGGATGACCTGTTGAAGTTCCATGAAGCAAGGAGACCATTGTGGAAGTACCCACAGGAGTTTGCTTTCACTTTTTATAAGCAATTCTCTTTAGAGATCATCATTTTCCTTGAGTTTTCTGCATTTTTCTTTCTTTCTTTTTTTACCCCTGTTTTTTACTTTTGTTATATTTGCGTTTTCTTTCTTTTTTCTACTGAGACCAGTTAAAGTGCATTCCAAAAAAAAATGAAGAGGTATTTGGGCTAAGGTGTCAAGGGACAGCCAGATTAAAGATGGCGGCCAAGACAATTGAAGGATTTTCTCCAACTGAAAATTGCTCAAGCAGTGGCTCTTCTGGGGTCATGCACTCAGCAGCCACTTACGAGTCTGACACTTTGAGGACCTTCGATTCTTCTGCCCACTTTTGTGAAGCAGAATATTTACCCTCTTCATGTTGAAGTGCAATTTCAGCCCTGATCCATGTAGAACTATTTTGTAGTAGCAGTTACGGTTTTCTAAATTGTTTGCCATTTAATCACGATTTCTACCACTAGGTTACTGAACTCAGTCATAATATGATCATGGAAATCACTGCTCTGAGAGCCCAACTCACTGATTTGGAAGAGGAGAATTTGAATCTCAAAAAGCAGATTAGAAAAGAAGTCCAAGAAGAATACGAAGCATTAGTCCAAGCCTTGTTTGTGACCTGTTTACACATAAAAGTGAGTGAGTGTCCCCTGTCAGATGTCTGGGCAGCCCTGTGGGGAACTGGGAGTAACTGATTCACATAGCAGCTGCACACAGAGGGATCAGTGACAGAATCAGCTTTGTGGAAACAAGAGACACTTGAGTCCTAGACTTTTCCAGCCCTAAATTTTCATTGCAGAAATATAGGCAGCAATGGGCTGTGATTATTCTATGGTGGTAGATCCTGACTGTTAGATCATTTAGATGTGTCTTATTTTTCACACTCTTTTGACAGTTGCCATCTGATTGCTAATTGCTGCTGCTCCAAGGCCCCAGCAGTCCACACCACTGTCTGTTTTATCTATTGAATGTAGTAATCTAATGGGAGAGCACAGTGCACAGGACCAGACCAGACCCCAGTGTGGTGGCAGCAGCCACTTCCTCAGATGCAGAATTTGAATCCAGAGATTTGCCCAGCCCTCAAAATGCCTGCCAGTCTTTTTCTCACCTCTGGTGTCAGAGAACTGCTGACCCACCAGTGAATACACTCCCAGAAGAGGAGTAACGAGTATCCATATGCCCCACACCATGGAAGCCATGAATGTTCTTGCCTGGTTTAAGCAGCTGTGAGATGGGTTTTCCACACTGCAAATGGGCCATCAGGGTCAAGGGAGCCTGGTCCAAGCTTCCCAGCAAGTGTGAAGTTCAGTCCAAATATACCAGGCCTAACTCCAACACCAGCAAGCTAGTCAATTACAACTCAAGACTTCCACAAGTGCAGCAGAGTAGAACTGTGCTTAGGATTTTCAAAGGCTGCTTTTGTTTTTGTTTTTTGAAGTAGTAGATCACCAGACTTTTTTTGAGTTGCTTCTGGGTGGACTTGAACCTCTAACCTTTCAGTGACCAGCTGAACATGTTAACTGTACCACCCAGAGACTCCTAAGTCCAAGACAGTCTCCCCCAATCTTGCCTTCCTTGCTATTGGATACACCACAGAGCCAGCCCCATTTGGGTCCTTCCTCAACTCTTCCTGGAAACCCACAGTCATGACATTAACAAAACCTCACACCAAGGCTCTGTCTTGGCTTGGTCATTCCAGAAAAGGTTGGTGCTCTCTTGTTCACTTGTGAAGAGTTCTCAAAGTACAAATGCTTACAAAGAGTAAAAGATCAAAACTCAGATGCGCTCACCCTGGAGCAGTGGGAGATGGGTAAGCAGACAATGAAAGCAGCAATTTGCTGAGAGATCTTTCAGGTGTGAGATTGTCGGAGCCATTACTTACATTCTTTTCCCCTTCAACCAGATTCCTAGATAAAAAATAAATTCCTTGCTTCTCCCAGAAGAAAATAGGTAGACCAGACCTCTCAAAGTAGGAAGGATCCCAAGAACAGCATGAAGCCAGCACCAAAGCTTCCTGCCATGGCTCCCCACCTGCATGCTATCGTCCTACCTTCTTCTCCACAGATATGGTTCAGCAATAAAAGGGCACTCAAGCCCTGCCCCTCTCCCCAAGGACATTGGGTCTCCAGCTGCAGCTACCAATAATCAGGCCTTTTACCCTTATAAAAGTCATTCAGAAAGAGTTCTTCCTTAACAGCTGAGGCCTAAATATGGAGGCAGCCAACCTGATACTTTCCTCTACTTTCTCTCTCTCTCTTTTTTTAAAAAAATTTTTATTGTGAATTTAGTGGCAATTTACATGGGAGAACATCGGTTTTACACTCATAGTTTCATTGCAATGATTACAATTTCCTGCGTGCATCATCATTCAACAGTATTTGTTTTCATTCCCTCTGCTTTTTGTTTTGTTTTGTTTTGGGGGATGTACACAAAAACACCAGGAATATAGAATCATTTAAACAACTGAAGGGCACATTCTGCAAGCCTGCCTCCTGGCCACCAGCACACAGCCTTTCTTTTTCCATGAGTCTAAGTCCTCAGCTGCTCTCTCTCTCCACGTCATCATCTCTGCCTCCATCTCTGGTGTCACTGCTTCTCTGGACAGGGTCCCACATTCCGCTCATACTCTTCTCTCTTGATGGTCCTAGGGTCGATCCTTTGTTCCTGGACTGTAAGATTAACTACTCCCCACTTTTTGCTACAAAATGTGTACCTTTACAGTTGTGACAGTCGCAAGTAGTCATGAAACCATTATTCACTATTCAATCATAAGAATCTTTTTTTTTTTTTAAAGTTTTTACTGTGAATTATGTGTTAGTTTACATGGCAGAACATTATTTTTACATTCATCCTGTTGTATTTCATTTTACTGCAATGGTTACAATCCCCTGCATGCATCATCAACCAACCAAAGGGTACACCCTGCATGCCTGCCCCCAGGCTGCCAGCACATAGCCCCTCTCTCTCCCTGAGTCCAGAGTCCCATAAGAATGTTTTTAATAGAGTTCTTTGGGAGTGGTTTGTCTATAGTGTTTTCCTGGACAGATCCTGATCAGAGGCAATGTTGAGAGCCAACATTCTTAGGTTCAACTTTCCAAGTAATTTTGGAAACCGAGAATTCCTAGGAGGCAATTCAGTAAGCAGATTTCCATCTGCAATCTCCCACTGTTCTACCTGTTCAACTTGTCTTGCCATCTGATAAGTTAGGCATGCTCTAAGACATGCAGAAGTGCAAATGACAGGGGCTTGTGAATTAAAGATCACTCTCAAGGGGCAACTAGTGTGACTTCCATATAACACATGAATAAATAATTGGGAGTCTCTGAGTGCTGTAGTTAATGCACTCAGCTGTTCACAAAAAGTTTAACTGTTTGAGTCCATCCAGAGGTACCTTGGCAGAAAGGTCTGGTGGCCAGAGGCAAATTGAAACTGTATGAACACTGTTCTACTCTGATATACATTGGGTCACCTGAGTCAGAATCAGCTCTGTGGCAAAGGGTAACTGGTAGGATAATTGGGTGTATGCTATTTTAGTATGAATTCAATTCTAAAGTTGGGTTTTAAAAGGAAAAATCCTTTACCTCAGTTGCCCTTCACTCCCCTCATCTCCTTAACCGGACTTTGCCATTTTCAGGGCCAGCTGGATGAGAACCAGCTGAATCTGATCCAGAAAGTGTGTGAGCTTGTCAGCGAGGTGAGACGAGAAGGGATTGACACTTTGAAAAGCCTAAAGAAAAAATGGGGCTCTGCAAGACCGGAGGACAGCATGAAAGAGAGCTCAGCCAAAGTATGTGGTTCCATTTAGCAATAGGGTAGCAGCGATTCAGCCTAGAGTTTGATCCCGCTGTTCACTCCATTTCCTTTCCAGCCCAGTTCCACTGAGGAAGTACCGTAGCATGCATTTAAGCAGGCTAGGTACCAGGGCTCATTGTGCAATCATGTCATCTTTTGGAGACATGTTTCTGATGCTAGGATCTGAGTTCTTCCCCCGGAAAGTGATGGGAGCAGGCTTTTCTGAAAGTGAGTTTTCTTAGCAGGAGCAGGAGCAGCTGCAGGCCTTGGAAGAGGACAACTGCAGCTTGACCACCCTGGTGAGCAAAGCCAGGATACTGGGCCGCTGGAGGCTGGCTGTGCAGCAGGCGTACTTCCGGGGCCAGCTGAGCAGGGCAGAGAAGGTGAGCAGCTGCTGAGATGGTGTTGGGTGGAGGATGGTGCTAAAGGATCTGACAGTTGGGGCTTTTCCTGTGGAGGGGCAAGGCCAGAGACTTGGGAAAGAGACAAGAGGCCAAAGCAAATGGCAAAGGAGACCAGAACAGAAGGCTTGAGATAGCTTTGTTAAAAAACTGCACGTTTTTGGGTTTCAACCATGATTCATCTGAGCTAAATGAAGTAACAAAATAATAAATGGAAAAGCTGCTTTAAAGCAATTTGAAACCAAAACACATATTGATAGTCATTTGGAAATCTTCACTCTTTAAACTGTTTCTTAATGTCTTTATTTATTCTGATCTGTCTTACTCTTTGTAATTAAAACCACGGGTGCTCCATTCTGCTGGAAGTTTTAAAGAACAGTGTGGATGCTGAAGTGGTTTAGACACTGCCTGGGAAACTAAAAGTGTGAAAAGGACACTTATTTCCTGTCACTGTACTGTGTTTGGGATATTTCTAGGAAGTGATTCAAAGTAAAAAGGAGTGTTTGAGCACCAAGCTAATGGCAGAACGAGAAGTGGTTTTGTTTCGTCAACAGCTACTGGCTCTCAAGCAGGCCCTGGCCAGGGCTCAAGCTGACAACGTGAGCATGTGGAAACAGCAGGAGAGCCAGGTATCTGGACGGCAGGGCAATCTTCCTCCCTCTTTTTGATCACGCTCTGCAAAGTCAAAGGTGGCCACCAGAAGCAGCTGCCCATAGCAGTCACCAGAGCTCCACAGGGAGCTGAGCAGATTTGACAGACAGAAAAAGATGACTGGGACCTCCCATTCCCTTCTTCTCCTGCCTATCCCAACCAGGAGAACAAGGGTGGTGGCCAAAAGGCCTTTGTTCTTGTATTTGGCTAAGATGATCAAATAATAGTTACATGCAAGAACATTTAATCATCCTTGGTGTTTACCATAAGGGTGTCTTGGGTTCTGACCCTCTGCCTTGATCACACTGCCCCAAGCCCACATTCCATCGAGAACAACCCCTGCTGCCAAATTATTACTACTCCCCCAGTAGAGGGTCTCCAGCCCTTTCCTGAGGATCCACATTTAGTTTTACTCGCAGAAGTTACTGCTACTCCAGAGGGGATGGCACCAAATTAAAGGTGTTTAAGTCTAAATTCTTACTAACTGTGCTAACCTGCAGAGGATGATGAAAATAGAGAGATCCTAAATTTGGAGAAAGACCAGCAGAGTTTAGATAACAGTCTGAGAAAGCTGTGCATACTTAACATGAAATATAAATTACTTATTTGGTCATTATGGACACTATTTCTTCCATTATTGTAAAGCCACCATACAAATCATTATTAATAGTATTAGTATTATAACTAAGTATTGACCACCTCGTATTTACAGTGTTACTCATTAGATAAAAATTCAGAATAGAGCCAAATTATTACTACTCTTTTCCTTCTTTATCTAACAAGTATCTGGCTTCACCAAAGTTACTTTGGAAGTCAAATCAGAAGCAGGACTAACCTTCTTTCCCACACATTACATGTATCATATCGCATCTCCCAATGATAAACCTTTAATACTGCTATCTCAAGATAAAGGCTGAGTCACTGACCACCTAAGACAGGCAGCGTCCCTTAAACAAACAATAAATAAGGAGGATTCGGATGCAGACCATGCAGACCCGGTCAGGAGGCCAAGCCCCTGTGGGCCCAAGCGTTGTTGACCGTCCAAACCATAGGCTCTGAGGATCAGACTCTAGCCACCTAGTAGACATAGCAAACTGTCCCTCATCTGATTATTCAGTAATGCTTGTTAGTAATCTCATACATGAGCCCTGGATATCCACAGACAAATGTAAAAACCTTCCCTAAAAGCCGAGACTGTAAATTCCAAAAAGGCAAGTCCCGCCCCCATCCAAAAAAAAAAAAAGCTAAAGAGGATAGAGAGAAACATTGTAAACTGATGATATATGGAGGGGATAATAATCAATGTAATGAAACAAGCTATATGAATGGTTGAATGTGAAGCTGATGATGTGCCCTGTAAACTTTCACTCAATGCAAAATAAAAACATTTAATTAAAAAAAAAAAGATAACGGCTGAGTAACAATGCAAATGGATCTTGTGATCAATATGGTTATTTGGTTAATAAGCTAATTAACATATCCATTATTATCAAATCTTGGAATTAAGAGACCATGCTACTAGGGCTGGTGTTGCTGCATGGTTTGTGTTACCACTTTCCTGGGTTTCCTTGTGATTTGTTTGTACCCCAACTCCCTCCCAGCCAATGTTGTGTCAAGACTTACAATATAAATGCTAGGCTGGACTAGAGACCCTAGTGGTTTTGCTGATATCGGACAGAACAGAGTTACCTTGAACCCAAGAATGTACCAGCCTTTCTAGGCCTGGGTCCTAAAGGAGGAGACGGGGATAGTGTTGACCAGTCTCTCATTCCCTGCCTTCTGCTGTCCTGAGGACTCTGAAGTTCTTGTTTCCTTTGGCCTTTTTCTACCACAGGCTCACTTGCTGAATGAGTTAGAACACAGAGCGGCCCAGGAAGCTCTCAACCGGCAGCAGCTGGATTTGATGAAAACATCCAGCATAGAGAAGCTCTTGGATGATGTGAAGCAAAAGGAACAGCAACTGCAGCTTCTTACTGAAGAGGCTGACAGGGCTTCTAAACTGGGCCAGCTTCAGAAGAAAAAAATCCAGCGAGAAATACATCAGGTAAACTCCAGTGAGAGGTACTGGCCACTAGTAAGCAAACCAGAGTGTATTGGCAAGAGCTCTTTCATTCTCCAGTCTTTTTCACGCCTCCTCTTGTTCTTCATGAAGTCCTGGTGTGGCGCTGTAGGATAAGCACTGGACTGCTATGAGTCGGATCAGCACATCTCAACTTTTGTCACATCTAGGCACACCAGAAAAATAGTACAATTCATACCAGTACTGTGTTGACTGCTCCACCATTTATAAAGGGGGATGATGGCATACCTGTAACCTACTTGGGACACATGTAGGAGTCGAATTTTTGATTTAGGAAGTCTTTAGAATTTTCTGAGAAAGAATCTGGGAAAGCAACAAATATTATGGAAGTCATTATAAGAAGATTCTAGTCAAAGGTGTTTCTGAAACTGCAGAGACAAAAATGAATGGCAAGAATGGTTTGCAGACATGATATATTTTTGTTAAAAATGCTCCATAATAGGAGATACACAAGCACACCCAAACTTGCAAATAGTACCCATTTGACCTAGTCTTGATGGCTTGATAATCAGAACTTGACTAGAGGAAGATTAAAACAAAAACAAAAACAATTTTTGATAAAGGAAACAAGGGTAAAATGCTACAATTTTATAAAGGTAGTAGCTCTAAATACCAACAGAGAGGGAAGGAGTCTTCACATCAAGTATCAATGCTATCCCCTCTGTTCACAGGGTAGATAGGAACTGGCAATTTAGACATTGGCTACCTAAAATGAGGGGGTGATAAAGGCACAAAGTGACTGGCTTACAAGGTTTCAAGAGGGAGTTCAGTTTAAGAGTATGGGAGAAAAGAAAGAGTCCCCACTGAATAGCTGTCATCTTGTCTAGATGGGTCTGGTGAAAGAGATGGGGATAAGAGTCAACAGTGAGTAATTGTTATCATGACTAATTGCAACTGTCACAATTGTAAAGGTAGAAGTTTTGTAACAAAAGCAGGGGAGTACTTAATCTTACAGTCCAGAAATAGAGGACCCTAGGACCATCAAGGGAGAAAAGCACAAGCGAAATGCAGGACCTTATTCAGAGAAGCAATGACACCAGAGATGGAGGCAGAGATGGGGACATGGAGAGAGGGAGCAGCTGAGGACTCTAGATTCATGGAAAGAGAGGGACAAAGAGCTGGTGGCCAGGAGGCAGACTTGCAGAATGTGCCCTTTGGAGGTGTAAATTATTATATATGCCTAAGTGTTTTTAAAAAAAGAGCTAAAATGAATAGAGAGAAATTAACTGCTGGTACATGGAGGGGATTATAATCATTGCAATAAAACAAAATATATGAATTGTTGAATATAAAATTGATGATCTTCCCTGTAAACGTTTACTCAATTCACAATAAAAACTTAAAAAAAGAAAGAAAGCCCCACAGTAAGAAGAAAAAGAAAAATGAAATAATATAATGTAAATGTGTGGATTAATACATAGTCCAACAAAGGACCCAGAATGTAATCCAGTACAAATGGAAAAGAAACAACACTTTGCAGAGTAGGCAATTCATGCATAGTCATTGAATTCATGTGTCAGTTAATTCACTGTTAGAAGACAAAGGAAAATCAAATTATTGATCAAGTTTTTCAAGTGTTCACGTAAGTAATTAGTAAGAATTCTACAAAAGATAAATGGCTAGTAAAATAGATAAAAATGAAATTGATGACATTCTTGGGAAAACATTTTTATAAAAAAGGAGAGAGAAAATGAGTAGCTATAGAATTTTTTTTATTAGAATTTCCCATGTATCTCATGAAAATTAAACTAAAATTTAGCATCACTCATTTGTGTTACAAAGTAGGCCTTTCTAAAAGCTCCCACAAAATTAGGAAGAAGTTTATAGATGGGTTGTTGTTATACTTCTCCTACAGTGCCACACCAGGACCCCACAGATTAGTTGGTAGCTAAGCTATTTGGTTCCAGGGGCAGTCAAAACAGAAATATTTTGAGATTGTTTTCAATAAATATATTTTTCAATCGATCTATGTAAAAACCACTGTTGGCCCTTCCTAAACTGCTCCTCCTGCTTTTCTGACAGCTCATTCAGCCCTAGGCTTGTTGTCGGGTGCCCTCCAGGTGACCCCACATGACAGGCTCTAACTGCACTGTTGGGTTTTCTTGGTTGTAATCCTTGTTATTGCAGACTGCCAGGTCTTCCTCTCAGAGAGCCATTGGCTCGGTTCAAACCGCCAACAGCTGAGCACCTGTGACAGTCCACCCTCCACCAGTGGAGGCTTCATGACCTGACTGGCCTCAGTGCATCCACGTCTCGCTCACACCTGCACCTGCCCAGGTCTTTTAAAGAGTAGGCTCTGCCTCAGACTGCCCTGTTCCCAGCCCCAGGGCCTCCACCAGTTGTATGACTATGGGCAAGGTCTGGGGCTTCTCTCTGCTTTAACTTCCTCATTGGTAAAATGGAGATAATAATGGTTCTCATTTTATGGGATCTGGGGAAAGATTATTTTAGTTAATACAAATAAAGTGTTTAGAACAGGATCAGTCACATAACTCTCAATAAGTGTTGACTGTATTTTTGCTGGGAATTGGGAAAATATGATGGTGAACACACTCTGAAAATAGGTACCCAGACCTGGATTCAAATCCTAGCTCTGCCACAAACTGGTTATGTGACCTTTGGCCAGTCACTGTGCCATGATACTTCTGTGAAATGAGAGTGGGGGGTGGGTGCTAACTCAAGGTAGGTTCTAATTAGGCAGGTTGGTTTTGCTAGTATTTCTCAAATTGATTTGGCCCCAACCTGGTCCAAGGAATCTTGGTAAGTTTTCCTGTCCATAGGGATGGAATCTTACACAAATCCCCATAGTACACAGAGAGACTCTGGACCTAGTTTATATTGTTGTTGTTGTTAAGTGCTGTTGAATCAGTTTTGACTCATAGTGACCCTGTACAGAGTTTCTAAGGAGCAACTGGTGATGTTGAACCACCTACCTTGCTGTTAAATGGACTTTGCAGTCTACAACATTAACCCAGAGCACTACACCAGGATTCCTAGTTTATGTTTTATAGATATATATTAATATTTAGTTTATATTAGGAAGATTTTTTTAACTCTGGAGATCTGATAATCAACTGAATTTTAAAGGACACTTGAGAGTGTCCACACAACAACGGGAACAAATCTCTCTAATATTTGTCAAACCAGCTCAGCGAGTTTAGGGATCTACTAGTACAAGCAGGATTTCAAACATCTGGGACTAGACTTCTGTGATTCGGGTATATTGCTTATTTTTAAGCAAAAAGGTTAGGAGATGATAACTTAGATTTTTTTTAAAGAAAAAGCACCTGTAATGTATTCAGAGGAGTCTTGGTGTGACTTTTAACCACAAGGTTGGTAATTCAAACCCACTAGCTACTCCTTGGAAACCCTATAGAGGTTCACTAGGAGCCAGATGGAGTCCTGGTGTGGCACTGTGGGCTAATGCGGCAGACTGCAAAGTCATTTGAACTCCAAGGTCGGCGGTTCAAGCTCACCAACTGCTCCTTGGAAACCCTATACAGGGTTGCTATGGGTCAGAATGGACTCGACAGCACTTAACAACAGCAACATGAGTCGGAATGGGCCCAGCAGCTCTTAACAGCAACAATCTATGTGGGGGCGGTGTGTTTTGGACCCAGCCACTCTTTGGGGAAGGGGAAAGGAGATTATGGGTCAGCCCTGAGTGGGAATTGCTGCAGGAGTAAATACAAAGGTTACCTTCGGGGATGGGTGCATGCATGGCCCTTTTCAGAAGGTAGTCTGGTGTAGATATCTTGCAGAAGCCCAGGGGCCTCTGAGGGTACCCAGGCTTAACCTCCAAGATCCTGTATGAACTGTTCCCTCTGGTGAGATAAACATAAAAGGTATAACTCCTGGTGATGCTGTGATACAAATTAACTAAAATAACTTCCGTTCCAAGGGCTGCCTTTATTCTTCATTGGTTGATTTCTTTGCTTTTATGGAGTTCTGAATTCTCCCAAGGCTGAATTTTGCCTAAACAGGACTTCTATGGGACCTACACTCTCCCTAGGAACCACCCTGTGAGTGGAGAGGACTCCAGTGTGCAGAACAAACCATTTCCACTTCCTATGCACTTTTTCCTTCAGGTGAGAAGCCAGCTGGCCCAGGAGCGCAGTATGAAGCAGGACGCTTTCCAGCGTGTGGAGGAACTAAAAAGTCAGCTTAATGACGCTGTCCAGATGCGCTCACCAAGTGGTAAGGATACCCCCTTCTCTATCTAGAAAAAGCTCCCTCAGTCCCAGGCTCTGAACTAAAGGGAAGGCTCAGTTATACAGCCAGTGTTGAAAAAGTCAGTCAACATCTTTTCTGATTAGCAGTTAGAACTTTCTCCATTAGTTCACTTTGGAGTACTGACATCCTATACTAAACAGTCTCAGTATTTAAAACTGATCCCAGGATTATAATATGCCACTTTAAAGAACATAGGGGACTTCATTGATTTGAAGGATCATAATGCTTTGGGATGTCAGTGACACATTTCTCAGATGTTATTCATAAATACATTATGATTCATCACTGAGGAGTACTATCAAAATAGCCCTCTGGATAGTACAGCCAGCAGTAGCACAGAGCAAAGACCAGGCCCCAAAATGTCTCTTAATTGTTCCTTATGTTGGATTCCTAGGGTTTCTATAAGAAAATAACACAAAATGAGTAGCTTTAAGCAACAGAAATGTATTGTCTACAGTTCTGGAGGCTGAGAGTCCAAGATCAGGGTGTCAGCCATGTTGATTCCTTCTTAGGCTTTGAGGGAGAATATGGGAGCTCTGGAGTCCTGGAGTGGGGCTGTAGGATAAACACTGGACCCAAAAGGTCAGTTTGAACTGCAAGGTCGGCGGTTCAAACTCACCAGTGGCTCCTCAGAAACCCTATACAGGGTTGCTATGGTAGGAACCAACTCCATGGCACTTAACAACAACAACAATAAAGTCATGTAGGATTAGGATTTATCCAGCTCCAGCATAAACTCAGAAGTCCTGGTGTGGCGCTGTGGGCTAATGCGCTGGGCTGCAAAATCATTTGAACGGCAAGGTCATTGGTTCAAGCTCACCAGATGCTCCTCGGAAATCCTATACTGGGTCGCTATGGGTCAGAATCAACTCGATGGCACTTATCAATAAGTATAACCTCATGTTAACCTGGCAGATAACATCTTTAAAGACCCCATTTCCAAATAAGCATGTTCACAGGTACTGGGGTGGGACTTCCACATATCACAATTTAATTCATAACAGTTGCTATAAAATAAGGGCTAAACACCTGCCCTTGAATATGAGGGGCCTGGGACCATGTTTAGGGCAGATTTATACTGGCTGGAGCCTCTGTAGTTCCCACATTGCAAACCAGCCAGTGCCAATTCAGTTTTCCAGAAGTAACTAAGAAAATGGATATAATCAGAGGGTGGGGTGAATTTGTAAACTCTCTCTAATTGTAAAACCACACAAGATTAGTGTTTGGGACCAGTGTGGTCTGCCTTAAATCGTTCTGGAAAAGATAGCAAATAAGTAAATACATACTTTTTTGTTTTGTTTTGATTTTAAAGCTTTTATTGTGTATTGAATGATTGAAGGATTACAGGGCAGATCATCAGTTTTACATTCAGCAAATCATTGTAATGATTACAATCCCCTCCACGAACCCTTTACAACAGTATTTACCTCTATTATTTTTTTGTTTTTTTAATGTACACATACCACATTGAAAATATGTATTTGTTTAAATGTCCAAAGAGCACATTTTGCAAGCCAGACTCATGCCCACAGGCACACTGCCTTTCTCAGTCCACAGGTCTAGAGTCCTCTGCTGCTCTGTCTCTCTATGTTATCGCCTATACCACCATCTCTGTTGTTGCGGCTTTTCTGGTTAGGATCCCTCATTCCTCTGATGCTCTTCCCTCTTGATAGTCCTAGGGTCCTCTGTTCCTGCAATGACAGATTAACTGCTCCTCTTGTTTAGTTGCAACTCTCCTACATTTACAGTTGTGACATTCATCATTAGACCTGAAAACAATTGTTGTTGTTGTTGTTGTTAGGTGCCATTGAGTAGGTACCGACCCATAGAGACTTTATGCACAGCAGAACGAAACATTGCCGGATCCTCGGCCAACCTCACTACTGTAGCCACACTTGAGTCCATCCATGCTGCCACTTGGCCAATCCATCTCATTGGGGGTCTTCCTCTTTTTCTCTGACACTCAACCTTATCAAACATGACATCCTTCTCCAACAACTGGTCCCTCCTGACAATATGTCCAAAGTATGAGAGATGAAATTTGACCATTTTGGCCTCTAAGGAGCACTCTGGTTGCACTTGTTCCAAAACAGATCTATTGGTTCTTTTGGCAGCCCATGGCACTTTCAATATTCTCCTCTAAAACCATACCTCAAAAGCATCAATTCTTCTATGACCTTCTTTATTCACTGCCCAGCTTTCACATGCATATGAGGTTATTGAGAATACCATGGCTTGGGTCAGGCTCACCTTAGTCCTCAAGCTGATATCTTTGCTTTTCAACGCTTTAAAAAGGTCCTGTGCAGATTTGCCTAATGCAATACTTCGTTTGATCTCTTAACTGCTGCTTCCATTAGTGTTGATGGTTGATCCAAAAGGAATGAAGTCCTTGACAACCTCAATCTTTTCTCTGTTGATAAGAACGTTGTTTATTGGTCCAGTGGTGAGGAGTTTTGTTTTCTTGACATTGATATGTAATCCACACCGAAGCTGTGTTCTTGGATCTTCATAGATCAGTAAATATTTTAAGTCCTCTTCACCTTCAGCAAGCAAGGTTATATCATCTGCATATCGCAGGTTGTTAATGAGTCTTCCTCCAATCCTGATGCCACATTTTTCCTCATATAATCCAGATTCTTGAATTATTTCAGCATACAAGTTGAACAAGTATGGTGAAAGAATACAACCTTAATTTTAAAACATTCAGTGTTCCCATGTTCTGTTCGAACATGGTCCAGGTACAGATTCTTCATAAGCACAATTAAGTGTTCCGGAATACTCATACTTCACAATGTTGTCCAAAGCTTGTCATGATCCACACAATCAAAAGCCTTTGTGCAGTCAATAAAGCATAAGTAAACATCTTTCTGATATTCTCTGCTTTCAGCCAATATCCATCAGACATCAGCAATGATATCCCTCGTTCCACAGCCTCTTCTAAATCCGGCTTGAACCTCTGGAAGTTCTCCGTCAATGTATGATTGTAGCCATTTCTGTATTACCTTTAGCAAAACTTTACTCGCATGTGATATCAAAGAGATTGTCCAATGATTTCCGCATTCCATTGGGCCACTTCTCTTTACTCACAATTTAATCATAAAATCCTATCACCATCATCACCAGACATTTGGACAAGAGAAAAATTATTCAGTAGGGTTTCTGTCTTACTCCCCTTGTTCTGACACTAAGCACCCTCATGAAAGCTTGTAAGCCAGCCACTTCATGCCTTTATAGCCCCTCGATTTTGGTAGCTGAAGTCTCAGTTGCCCATCCCTATCAACCCAGTGTACAGAATAGGCATGCTTAATCCTTGATATGAAGAATCCTTCCCTATTCAGTTGGAATTTGGAGCAGATTCATTCATAAGCAAAGGTCCAGTTGATCAGGTTGTAGCAATTTACACTTGCTCTCTGTATCATACTTCTTTATCTTCATCTGGTCAGCAAGCCATCCGCACTAGGTCAAATAGGTACTGTCTGCAAGTTTGGGAGTTCTCAAATGCTTCCCACCTCTTCAGACCAGCTGGCTGCTTCAGTCTTAACTTTAGCCCCCAGTGGCTAGGTCAGTGTCCTTGGGCTCTGGAGTTCCCACATCTCCCTGAATTTCAAACCAGCCAGTGTCTCCTCTTGGCTTCTGTAACACAGTCTGGTGGTTGAATGTTTGGGCTTTGGAAACCATCCAGCCAGAGGTCAAGTCCTAGCTCTGCCACTACTAACTGTGTGATCTTAACCTAAAACTCAACCCCGTTGCTGTCAACTCAATGTTGACTCATAGCAACCCTATAGAACAGAACTGCCCCAGAGGGTTTCAAAGTTGAAATCTTTATGGACACTGACTGCCACAATCTTTCTACCACATGGTGGTTGGTGGATTCAAACCACTGACCTTAAGTAGCCAAGTGCTTAGCCACGGTGCCACGTGAGCTCCTTGTGTGACCTTTGCCAGGTTAAGTAAGTCTGTCTGTAAATCGGGAATATCCATCTCAAAGGTGTGTCCTGAGGATTAAATGAAATAGTATGTATCTGGAGCCCTGGTGCCACAGTGGTTAAACACTTGGAGCTAACAGAAAGGTTGGCAGTTCAAATTCACCAGCTACTCCACAGGAGAATAAGGTGGCAGTGTGCTTCCTTAAAAATGTCTATAGTCCTGGAAACCTATGGGACCGTTCTACTCTGCCCTGTAGGACCACTGTGAACGAAATCAACTCAACAGCAACCAGTTGGCACAGTATGGCACTCAGTAACTGTGCAAATGTTGGTTATTACACTGTCATACATGTGTTTAGTCCTTTCACTGTTTTGGCTTAGCTGTTCACCAATGTGAACGAACTGGGAAAGCACAGCTCAAACAAATTCACAAGACCAAGTTGCTTGAGGTTTACTAAGGTCCCTCGTCTCTCCTGCCTGGCCTGACATGGGATGCTGGCATCTTCTACCTGGCCACTTTCCATGGCTAGTACTGTTGTCCCAGACAAAGATATAGAGCAACAAGGGTCCCTAAGGGTCCTATTTTAGCCACTGACCCGAAGCAGTTCTGTACCTCACACCATCTTCTCCTCATTCCCTGGATTTTAATTCTCTTTTCCTTCTGCTTTCAGCCAAGCCAAGTTTTTTGTTTGTTTGTTTTTTAAATCTTTGTCTGGGTCCTAATATGTCCTTGAGGTCCCATGGAACACAGTAGTTAAGCACTCGACTGTTAACCGAAAAGTTCACCAGTTCAACCCACCAGCTGCTCAGCAGGAGAAAGCTGTGTCAGTGTGCTTCTATAAAAATGTTTACAGTCTTGGAAACCCTAGGAGTTGATTCTAATCTGTCCTATAGGGTAATGATTTGGTATCAATTTGACAACCATGGTTTTGTCTTTTTTAAAAAATATGTCCTTGCTAGATTGTAATCATTGCAATGAAATGAGTGTAAAACTGATGTTCTCCCATATAAACGATCACTCAATTACAATAAAAACTT